TGGTGGTTGTATGTCTGGCAGTAGTGGTTGTAGTTGTTGGGGTGGTTGTAGTTGTTGAAATGATTGTCGTTGTTGGGGTGGATGTAGTTGTTGAAATGGTTGTAGTTGTGGGAATAGTGCTTATAATTGTAGGGTTGGTGGTTGTAGTTGTTGGGGTAGTTGCTGTAGATGTTGAAGTGGTTGTAGTTGTTGGGGTAGTAATTGTAGAGGTGGAATTTTGGGTGGTAGTTGTGGGCTCAGGCAGTTTGGTTGTTGAGGGCATGGTTATAATCATGGGTGTGGTTTCATTTGTTTTCAGAACAGTAGTAGTTGGAGATGTTGTGCTTGTGCTTGTGGCATTAATGGATGTATTTGTTGGTGTATTAGTGGTTGTAGTATTAGGTGTGGTTGTTGTGATGATACTCATGCCAGCCATTTTTGTTGATGCAGGCTTTGTAACTATTGTAATTTCTGTAGGCACGGTAGGGCTTGTGGTTGCTTCAGTTGATGTACTTTCATTGGTTGATGGTTTTGTAGGTATACTGGGAGTGGTTGTTATTTCTGTTGGTACACCCCAACTGCTGGTTGTTTCTGTTGGTATACTCTGGTTGGTGGTTGTTTCTGTTGGTATACTCTGGTTGGTAGTTATTTCTGTTGGTATACTCTGGTTGGTGGTTGTTTCTGATGGTATACTCTGGTTGGTAGTTAATTCTGTTGGTATACTCTGGTTGGTGGTTGTTTCTGTTGGTATACTCTGGTTGGTAGTTATTTCTGTTGGTATACTCTGGTTGGNGTTTCTGTTGGTATACTCTGGTTGGTGGTTGTTTCTGTTGGTATACTCTGGTTGGTGGTTGTTTCTGTTGGTATACTCTGGTTGGTGGTTGTTTCTGTTGGTATACTCTGGTTGGTGGTTGTTTCTGTTGGTATACTCTGGTTGGTGGTTGTTTCTGTTGGTATACTCTGGTTGGTGGTTGTTTCTGTTGGTATACTCTGGTTGGTGGTTGTTTCTGTTGGTATACTCTGGTTGGTGGTTGTTTCTGTTGGTATACTCTGGTTGGTGGTTTCTGTGGGTATACTCTGGCTGCTGGTTGTTTCTGTTGGTATACTCTGGTTGGTAGTTGTTTTTGTTGGTATACTCTGGTTGGTAGTTGTTTCTGTTAGTATCCTTTGGTTGTTTGATTCTGTGTTATCTCTCAGTTGTCCTGGTGATGTTCTCTGCATAGTTGTTTGGGTGATGGAGAAGAGAGGTGATGATGAAGATATATCAGGAATAATTGTAGTGTTGCTATTTGTCCATTCTCCTGTAGAACGGAATGGGGTCTGCCTTTGGGCTTCAGAAGTTGATTTTACACTTTCATTCCTCTGAATTGGATCCAAAAGTGGTTTTGATGAGCTTTCTGTGGTAATGATGCTGTCTTTACTGAGCTCTGATAGGCTTTTGGTGCTTGCCGTGGTGTCTTGACTGGGATCTGACAGACTTGGCGTTGTTGTTTGGCCAACTTGATCTGTTGCGTTGTTTGCCACTGTTTCGACACTGTCTGAACTCAGGAGAGCAGATGATGGTTTTCCATCATCAGTGGAAGCTTGGTGTTCGTTGGTTGCATCCATAACCTAGAGGACAGAAAACAAATAAATGAATAAATAATTAAGATGAATGTATANTATACTCTGGCTGCTAGTTGTTTCTGTTGGTATACTCTGGCTGCTGGTTGTTTCTGTTGGTATACTCTGGCTGCTGGTTGTTTCTGTTGGTATACTTTGGTCACTTGATTCTGTGTTATCTCTCAGTTGTCCTGGTGATGTTCTCTGCATAGTTGTTTGGGTGATGGAGAAGACAGGTGATGTTGAAGATATATCAGGAATAATTGTAGTGTTGCTATTTGTCCATTCTCCTGTAGAACGGAGTGGGGTCTGCCTTGGGGCTTCAGAAGTTGATCTTACACTTGCATTCCTCTGAATTGGATCCAAAAGTGGTTTTGATGAGCTTTCTGTGGTAATGATGCTGTCTTTACTGAGCTCTGATAGGCTTTTGGTGCTTGCCGTGGTGTCTTGACTGGGATCTGACAGACTTGGCATTGTTGTTTGGCCAACTTGATCTGTTGCGTTGTTTGCCACTGTTTTGACACTGTCTGAACTCAGGAGAGCAGATGATGGTTTTCCATCATCAGTGGAAGCTTGGTGTTCGTTGGTTGCATCCATAACCTAGAGGACAGAAAACAAATAAATAAATAAATAATTAAGATGAATGTATATTCTGATCAAAGTTGATCTTTGTCATAGTGTTACTCATAATGATGAAATTTCAAACTGTTCAATTTCTACACGTAAGTTCAGCGTTACTGATGAAGTCCCAAGTGTTGGGACAAAGCTCTAAGGTTTGCTTTCAGCTTATTGTGTAGAAATTGGACAGTTTTAAATTTCATATTTTTGAATATATATATAATTGTGTGTGTACAGGGATGTGTGAAAACATTATTAATAATCAGAAATAATTGTCATTTTGTTTGACTTGAAAAAAAAAAAGATTGAACATTTAGTGAAGGGTTGTTGTGGTAAGTGTTGGGGTGATTTTTTTTTTTTTTTTTTCTTTTTTTGCTTACCAAAATTTGTTTCCTCCATAACATGATATTTCTAACCACCACCTACTCTAGCTGATCAAACAAAAGTTGATTTCCAATTTCGTGTGAAGCGTGGGCTTTGTTTTCATTCAGTTAGTAACTGTTAAGGTGTGAATTTCCTTTCAGTCAATAATTGGCTATTGTTTTGAATACCGTAAGTTGATTTTATGAGGCGTGTGCAATGCATGTTGTGGACTGAATGGTGGCATGTCCTGTTATTTCTGTTCACTTGAAGTGAGAGGATTGGCCCTCTTTTGTGGACAGTACGTTAATTACTCAATCTTTTCAATGGGGGAAAATTGTGAACTTCATAGGTACTGTATTTTTAAGATGTAATTTCTTAAAATTAGAACATTCCTATTGAGTGGTAGCAACTAAATCAAAATTATTTATTATTATTTTATTATTGAAATTCTAATGACAAGTATTGTGAGATAGACTAACTAACTTAGGTAGAACATGCAGAGGTTTGCCAAAGTGTTAATCTTAGAATAAAGTTAACATGTTGAGTCGCAGTATTTGCGGGACAAGGTAGGAGTGGTGTAAATGCCCTGTAACACTGTTACTGGCTGCAGGCCAATTGCCAGTTATTTGGATCTGGGCCAGAAAAAAATTGTACGTGTTCAGTTACTTTTAAAATTACTACTGGTTCATGGCAGCTCAAATGGTCAGTAAACTAAAAATCTAAGTAAAGCTCTTACTTGTATTTAGACTAAAAATCTAAGTAAAGCTCTTATGTGTTATGTAGTCAAGTTGACCTCCCATTAATGTTAAGTAAAGCAGGTGATGAACAGGGACCTTTGTTAAAATGTTAGTGGTTATTTAGGAGCAAAGCAAAAAAAAAACAAAAAAAACTGCAAATTGTTTAGCTTGAAGGATAAGACTGAAGGATAAGACTGACCAAATTCAAGACTAAACCTATTGAATGTAGATTGACATGGGAATTATATAACATTGGCATTGCCACATTCAGAATCCAATTTACGTTGAGCTAACCATTGTTGGAAGTATGGTTGTTTATTATTGTGAATTGGTTGTAGATGCCACTTCAAGATGAGCTGATATATAGTATTTAGTATGTAATAGAACTTGAAAGTATTAAAATATGAATTTTTTTTTTAATTGGTAACGGCCTTAACAGTTATTGAACTATTCTTGTGTCTTTGTCCATCTGATTATACACAAAAGATTGCTGGCTACTTTAAAAAAACACAACAGCTATTCTGGCTTGGCTAACATCATATTTAAAGGTGTTCGGATATTTCTTCTCGGGTAATTCTTTCAAAATTAATTTTTTTCCTTTTGAGAGATCATAAAAAATACTGTTTTCAAAATTAAATAAATAAATCCTGATAATGAAAATATTGTTAAATGTAAACTTGAACCAAAATGAAAATAAGAAATACTTCTAAAAAATTGAAAGTCTCATTCAAAATTTTTGTCAAGAATAGGTCTTTTTTATCTTCCGAGGGACCATGAAAAAAAATTGTTTTGTCAGAAAGTCCACATAAGTGATCAGCCTTGTGTGCCGTATTTCTTGGGCAGGGAGAGGTATGGCAGTGGATGGACCCTTCTTTAGGTTATACAGTGTATAGTGTTAGACCTTCATATAGCAACAACATTTTTTCTGGATATTTTGGTACTTTTGATATCTTAATTGCCATCATATCTGAAACTTGCCAAAATCATTATCTACATTAGTAGTTCTAAGTTTTAAAATAATTTTCAGCCATTCTTGTAGTAGCTGTATTTTGCCCATGATAGTAAATATTTAAAAATAAGTGCTCAAAAACCAAATTTATTAATATATATATATATATATATATATATATATATATATATATATATATATATATATATATAAAGGTCACACACGCATTGTATTCCTTTAACCAATACTTACTGAAAGTCAGTAAACTAGAGGAGTAGCTGGGAATAACACCATCACCTCAGGGATACCACTACCATTACCGTGACAACCGCCATTGCTGGTGTCAATCTAGTCGTTACCTCTACTGTAGACATCGTTGCTGTGCCACTAGCGACTGGCGATGCAGATGGTGACTGCGTTGGCATTGAGGTTGTACTTGAAAGCAGCTTAGAATTACAGAGATCTCTAGTATCACAGTGGTCAATGGGGAATGTTGTGACAGTGTACTCCTTGAGTGATTCAGAGGGGCACGGCTGATCGAGTCCTTTGAAGTCCTTCCTCAAGATGTTTTGTAAAAAACGCAACCCTGCAGCATTGCAGGTACATTCCAATGGGTTCCCAGACAGTGAAACCGTCCTGAGGTTTGTATTGTTGTGAAAGGCACATGTGTCTAATGTAGCAATAGAGTTTCTGCTCAATTCCAGGCGATGCAGGTTTTTCATCTGGGCAATCCCTTTGGGGATTTTTGTGAGCCCCATATTGTGAAGGTAGAGATTTTGTAAGGTAGAAGTTAGGTTCCCAACGGTGGGCAGATCAAAGGAGGCCATCTGGTTGCCACTGAGCATCAGGGTCCTCAGTTTCCAAAACCGGGACAAGAGAACAACGGGAAATTCTGACAGTTGGGTAAATTCCAAGTTCAGATCTTGGATGGATTGGAATGCTTGCCCAAAGCCAGCCTGTGGAATGTTTCCCAAAGGGTTATAGGCAAGGTAAAGGATCCTAAGTTTAGGAAGGTTGGCCAGCACTTGAATGACATTGGAAGTGAGGGAATTATTTTGCAAATTGAGCAGATCGAGACTGTTCTGAATGTCATCAAATGCGGCGCCATCTATGGTTGAGATTTTATTGCTGTTCAGGTACAGTTTTGACAGTGCTGGAGTCTTGTGGAAGGCGTTTGCTGGAATGGTCGTCATTTGATTGGTTGATAGCACCAATTCTCTTAATATGGACATGTCTTCTGCAAAGACAGGAATTGCCGTCAGGACATTCTTCCCCAGATACAGATATTCCAGGCTGTTTTTTTGTCCGAGGAATGCTTTCTCTCCAATATAGCTGATATTGTTTTCACTCAAATCAATAAAGTTGAGGCCTTTTAGAGTGCTAAATGCATCATTGGATATGCTAGAGATATGATTCTTTCCCAGTAATAGTTCTTCAACTGAGTCCTTGGTGGTGTCAAAGGTCGGCACCATGGTCAGTCCTTTGTTTACGCAATTAACTGACCATGATTTTGTTCCGTCGGAGTTTGTGCCGAGTTCATCACAGGTGCAAGGTGGCCGTACTGGACAGTCCGCGGCCACATGTGATACTAGGGATAGCAAAATTGCCATGGCAGGAATATGGTGGTGGAGATTCATTGTGTGGATGGGGTAGTTTTTACCTGGAAATAAAAGCACATGATTTTATTAGTACCAACCAACACACACACACACACACACACACACACACATACA